CAACGGGAAAAAGTGCGAACCGCCATGCTCAAAGGCGGAAAACGACCAGGGCAGTCGCTAGCGACGGCAAGCGACCCTCGCCCGACAACGTCAACACGCCGTCTCTTTGTTACCGATCGCCACACCAAAACGCGTTTCTTAATCGACACTGGAGCCGATCTCTGCGTGTACCCCAGAACAATGGTTCCTGGCCCATGCAGGCGATCAACGTACGCACTATCAGCGGCGAACGGAACAGCCATATCAACGTACGGCACCATAACGCTGAGTTTAAATTTCGGTCTACGACGTGCGTTTCCCTGGAAGTTTGTGATAGCCGACGTCGCCAAGCCCATCATTGGCGCGGATTTCCTTTCACACTACGGATTGCTCGTCGACTTACGGCACGAACGTCTCTCGGATCAGCTTACCAACCTCGAGGCACGCCGACAGACAACCGACAGCGACATTAGCAGTATCAGGACGGTACCATTGCCAGATTGCAAATATCAGGAACTGTTACTTTAATTCCCGGACATCACGAGACCCGACGGACGAGTTACCGATCCAAAGCACTCAACCCAACATCATATCCGCACCACGCCAGGGCCGCAAGCGTTCAGCAGACCTCGACGGCTCGCGCCTGACCGGTTAGCCATAGAGAAACGCGAATTCGCTGATATGATACAATTGGGTATAGCACGACCATCCGAGAGCTGTTGGGCATCACCACTACACATCGTGCCCAAAAAGGGTAACGCCGTGCGATTGACGGGTGATTACCGCGCGTTGAACGCCCGGACCATCCCAGATCGCTACCCCATCCGTCACAAGACTTTGCGCAGACACTCTGGGGGAAATCAGTTTTTTCGGTACTCGACCTCGTACGGGCCTACAATCAGATCCCGATGGCGCCAGAGGATATTGCCAAAACTGCCATCACCACTCTCTTCGGCCTCTTCGAATTTTTGTACATGTCATTCGGCCTACCCAATGCCGGCCAGACCTTTCAGCGCTTTATCGACGAAGTGCTCCAAGGACTGGACTTCTGTTACGCGTACCTAGACGACATACTCGTGGCCTCATCATCGGAGGAGGAACACCGCGAACACCTGCATATCCTGTTCGAACGACTGCGTAAATATGGCGTCATCATCAATCCTGCCAAATGCATCTTCGGAGCAGCCGAGGTGTCTTTTCTAGGCTACTCTGTTTCGAGTAAAGGCACCCGACCACTGCCGGGCCGAGTCCAGGCAATCACCGAGTATCCAGCTCCAACTACAGCTGAGCAACTCCGACGCTTCTTGGGTACGGTGAATTTCTACCGGAGATTCATACCCAAGACCGTGGAAACTCAGGCACCTCTACACGACCTCCTTCAAGGCAATATCAAGGGGAAGGCAATACTTCAATGGACACCGGCAGCAGAGCAGGCTTTCACAGCCTGTAAGGACGCTATTTCCACTGCCACACTGCTGACTCATCCTAAACCTGATGCGCCACTTGCACTCATATGTGACGCATTCTGATGCGTCGGAGCGACGCTGCAGCAGAAAAAACTTAGCCCGGCCGAAACCAAATACAGCGCCTTCGACCGAGAGCTGCTAGCTATCTACCTGGCCATCAAACATTTCATGCACATGGTGTAAGCTAGGCAGTTCACTATATACACCGATCACAAACCAATCACTTTTGCATTCCGGTTACAGAAGGCTGACAAAAGTTCTCCGCGACAAGCCCGACACCTAGACTTCATCAGCCAGTTCTCCACAGACGTCCAGCATATCTCCGGCAAAGACAACATCGTAGCCGATGCTCTGTCACGTGTAGAAGAGATTGGCACTACATTGGACTTTCCAGCGCTGGCTGTAGCCCAGGAGAACGACCCCGAACTGAAGGAATTTTTGCAACAAGAATCAGCCCTACGAATGCAACGAGTACCAGTACCAGGGGCTGACCTAACCATCCTGTGCGACGTCTCCACGCCCAATGCTCGACAGACGAGCAGCTTCCAACGCTGTACACCAACTCTCGCATCCTGGAATTAAGACCACAGTCAAGCTCGTAACCCAGCGCTACGTATGGCCATCGGTGAAATGGGATTGCCGAGAATGGGCTCGTGCGTGTATACAATGTCAACAAGCCAAGGTAACACGGCACGTAGTATCAGCTGTCGGAGAATTCTCTAACCCAACAGCCAGGTTCGAGCACGTGCACATCGACCTTATAATCATGCCATCGTCCCGCTGGCCGGAAGCATTCCCACTGCAGGATCAAGAAGCTTCCACGGTGGCCAGAGCGTTCTACGAAGGATGGATCTGTCGATTTGGAGCACCACTTCGCATCACCACTGATCAAGGGCGTCAATTCGAGTCTAACCTTTTTAAGCAGCTGAATCGTTTGACAGGTACGACTCACCTAAGGACCACCGCCTACCATCCAGCCGCAAACGCCATGGTCGAACGTCTCCACCGACAACTTAAGGCAGCAATCAAATGTCACGAAAACCACCAGTGGACGCGAGTACTGTCAACGGTACTCCTGGGCATCCGCGCCGCCTGTAAGGAGGATATACAAGCTTCAGCTGCGGAACTAGTATATGGAGCAGCAATGAGACTCCCTGGGGAGTTCCTGGTGCCCCGTATTAACAGCCACACCACTGATGCCGCCGATTTCGTCCAAGAATTGCGAGAACACTTCCAGAATGTACGACCAACCAGCGGCTCTCGACATGGCGAACGCAAAACGTTCGTATTCAAAGACTTGGCCACCACCAATCAAGTCTTCGTGCGACACAACGCGCACAGGGGACCACTACAAATGTCTTACGATGGGCCGCACCGGGTCGTACGCCGTGGATCCAAGACTTTCACCATCGCCATCAACGGCCGAGAAGTCACCGTCTCAATAGACCGATTGAAACCGGCATACATCACGACAGACGAGCTTCCTGAAAAACCCCAAAGTCCATCCGACACCTGGCCAGAAGACGAGATGCCAAGACGCGAGGCGCCGGAGGACACCATCGGCCCACCACCCACTCAGACGCCTGGACCGTCCACCTCGAGGAACGTCACTCGTTACGGAAGACGTGTGCGATTTCCCGACCACCTCCAGGCAGGACTCAATTAATTTAATTTTTTTCTTTCTCCTTCGTCAAAAACTGGTAGGGGGTACTGTAGCGGCATTACCTCTACTACTCAGGCAAACAAACACCGTAAAAACAGGCAAAAGTATAAAACATTTTAATTACAATTACGTGACAAAATGTACGGATTGTCGAGGCCCACAGTTAATCCTACCGACAATAAAATAATCCCACAACCAAACTTCACAATACCATAAACATTTCCTTATCCTTCGAAGAATTTCTAGCCTAATTAATATCCATCCATCAATTTGGAAAGCCCTTGCGTTAGCCCCAAATTCAGGTCGACGTACAACGAGCACGTAACGGCCGGACTACCTGTATCTAAAATATAAAACCCAGTCCTGTCCTAAGCTAACAACTCAGTCATTTCAATTCAGTGAACCCAGTTCCACCATCCGGTCGACATTATTCAGTTAAGTTCCAAACTATCGGGCCTCGACATCCAACTTAAACGCTGTTGTAAGTTACACCACTATTTTCATTGTAAATAAATAACGTACTACGATCAACACAAGTGTTTAAATTCACACGCAAAATACCTCACTACAACCCCTGCAGTGTGAATAAAAAAATTTAAAAATATTTTTTTTTTTGTTGAAATAAGCCATTTTGCTAGAAACCTAAAAATCGTAAAAATTAAAAATTCTTTTAATCATTCATAAGCGTTCACGTTGCCAGGAATTGCCAGTAATAATAAAAAAAAAATTCCAGGAATTTTATTAAGAACTATTGGCAACGCTGACAACTAGTCTCTCCGATGCAAGTAACCACCTAACCGTAACGCTGCTAAATCACTATGTGAATAAGGCGGGCGATCTCTTTTTCTCTACCCGGACAGTGCAATGCTCTTCAATCATCTAACAACGATGCCGGAGGTGCTTGCTATTCCCAGGACAGCTCATCTTCGGCCCCAAGGAAGAAAATATTTTAATTTATATATTATATAAACTTCTTAAAAACCAATGGCATTGTAGAACAGTATAATTATATATTTTATGTAATAACTAACTATGAAATAAAATTTGAATTAATTTGATATGATTGGATGGACTGTGGAGCGATAGGTTGTCGGTTCAAATTTAAATCGAAAACTTTTTTAATTACTAAAGAAATTTCATCCCTTACTTGACAAATAATAAAACAAAAAATCCCCTAATTATTTTTATAATTTCCTTTAACTTAAACCAAAAATTAATTGAAAACTACCCCTAAATACTTATTGCAGTGAGGGTGGATGGGAGTTGAAGGGTGGTGGGTTGAAAGGTATGAGGGGTAAAAGGGGGGTAGGGTTGGAGGTTATAAAATGAGGGTTGTGGGGTGGGCTAAAAAGTAAGGGAGCTATCAACTTAAAGTAATTTTTAAATTTGGCGCGCATGCGCATGACCTTGATGTGGACAAAAATTGCCAGAATGGCCCTTAGATTTTCCTATGGGATTTAACATGTTATGGGCATAAACTAAAACGTCAATATAAATATAACCAAAAGATATACTTTTTTGGAATATTATTTTTCAGGTTTTGTATGTTTTGGCCATTTTTTACCATTTTAATTAAATAAAATAGGAGTATATTTATTGCTTTTTACAATAATGAAAAAAAATTTACTTTTGTAGAAATGTTGTAGAAAGTTTTATAGAGCCTTAAACGGGCAAAAAATTAAACAAATGACCGATTTAACATTTTTTTCTTAAATCTTAAATTTTAATAGGTTTGGAAAATTTGTTGAATGATTTTCAACGTTGGTCCAATTTAAGAAATAATAAGGTATAACTAATAGTTTTTAAATCAAAAGTATTAGGCATAGTACAGTTTTAAAATAAAAGTAATCATTGATTCATCTTAAAAAAATAAAAAAAAAAATAAAACATACCATAACATTGTCTTTACTCCAAGTTATGCGAGGGTTTGGATTTCCAGTCACAGCACAATTTAATACGACGTGATCACCAATTAATCCTTGGACTTCTGGTTTAAAAACTGTTACATTAACCGTGGGAGATTTAACTAAAATTTTGTTATTAAAACTTAATATTTTTTTTATAATTCAATAGTTTTTTACCAATTTCTTCATTAGGTTTATCTGTGTAAGTAGGCCATGGTGTCATCAATTGACCAGGTGCAAATTCTGGTTCCATACACACTGATCCACATCCAGTTGAACAACACTTAAGGGTTAATGAGCAATCAGCATCATCATTGCATTCTCGGTCACAATTTAAATCGTCTGAAGGGTAGTATGGGCATGTTCCTTTTTTGTTTTCTAAAATAAATTTTAAAAATTAATTAATTAAAGTATTTAATTTTTCTAAAACAGCAGAATTGTTTATAAAACCAAAAATTAGTTACTTTCTAAATTTGTACTAAAATAATAAATTTTTTGTACCTTCCCTACAAATGGCAACGAACTGATTTCCATCATTGTCTTCGCTTCTGTTTAAATCTATTGCACATCTTGTTTCATTTGCACAAGAATATCCTTCACATGGATCATGACATTTACACCTATTGCATGTATTTTCATCGACATATGCTTGTATTCCATAACGACATCTCATAGTTGAACACTCATTATAATAATCGATGCATTGATCATCAACATTATTTGAAGTTTGTTCATCTTAAAGAAATATATTAAAACATATACATATATAGGTGGGTCTGTGATAATTCTTTTATAAAACTTAAAGATTAATATTTGTACTGTGAGCAATAGGCAACCCAGCGTATTTACTTCCGTTATGTAACAGAATGCATTTTAGGCTATGTTTTGAATTGTAAATGAATAAACGCCATTCATATTGTTTTAAAACCATTTTTATTAACAAGTTTTTAATATCTGAACAAAAAACATATTGCCTTCTTTGAAAAAATAACTACGTAATTCTTTTTCTCTTTCACGATAAAAAGTAATTTTAGTGCATGGAGAAAGCGAATTTTTTTCTTTCAGTCTTGATGCGAACACTTCTGAATCTTGTTTAGGAAGATTAAAATCTCTTACACTGTTTAAAATATCTGTAGTGTTAAGAGTAATCCTAAAATGGTGTCAAAATCCAACACCAAGTGGTGTTAATATAACACCATGAATTATGGTTGAAAATGAACACCAAAACGGTGTTTATCTAAAAATATTTGAGAAGTGCACCTACACAGAAAAAAAGGAATAGTTCATTTAACTATATTAATTTAGTTGACCCATAAGTATTTATTTTTTTGTGGATCACGTGATGTTCTTAAATCTCGCCTCTGTTGACTTACATGAAGACCCAAACAACACAGTAAGTTTTAAAAATGTACATTTTTGGTTATATTTACGTACTTACCCTGCTGAAAATGACGGATGATTGCGAATATAAATTCTTCGTCAAAACCGGATAAAAGCAGATGATTGCGGGTATAAATTCCTTGTCGAAGCTGGATAAAAGCAGATAAAAGCGGGTAAAAATATCATCTGATATCATCGCTATATCCTTGAACACCCGTTTGGTTGTGTTTTATGTCCGGTTAGTGCACCCACGCAATCATCTGCAAACGTCTGCTTACGTCTGGTTTTATCCGCGATTACCTGCATTTTTTTGTCTATTTTTGTCTGGTTTTATCCGCCAACATCTGCTTTTATCCACGATCATCTGCTTTCATCCGCTAACATCTGCAATCACCCGCGAACAACTGCTTTTATCCGCGAACATCTGCAATCACCCGCGAACATCTGCTTTTACCCACGAACGTCTGCTTTCATACGGTTTCACCAGCAAACATGCTTTTATCTCAGATGTTTGCGGATAAAATCAGATGTTTGCGGATAAAAGCAGATATTTGCGGATAAAAGCAGATGTTTGCGGATAAAAGCATATGTTTGCGGATAAAATCAGATGTTTGCAGATTAAAATAGATGTTTGCGGATAAAAGCAGATGTTTGGAGATTAAAACAGATGTTTGCGGATAAAATCAGATGTTTGCGGATAAAAGCAGATATTTGCGGATAAAAGCAGATGTTTGCGGATAAAAGCAGATGTTTGCGGATAAAAGCAGATGTTTGCGGATAAAAGCAGATGTTTTGAGATTAAAACAGATGTTTGCGGATAAAAGCAGATGTTTGCGGATAGAATCAGATGTTTGCGGATTTAAACAGATGTTTGCGGATTAAAGGAGGCGTTCGCGGATAAATGCAGATGTTTGCAGATAAAAGCAGAAGTTTGTGGATTAAAGCAGACGTTCACAGATAAAAGCAGATCTTCGCGGATAAAAGCAGATGTTTGCAGGTGAAATCGGATGAATCAGACTTTTGCGGACTAAATTAGTTGTTTGCGGATTAAAACAGATATTTGTGGATTAAAGCAGATGTTTAAAGATAAAAGCAGATCTTTGCGGATATAAGCAGATGTTTGCAGGTGAAATCGGATGAAGCAGACTTTTGCAGACTAAATTAGATGTTTGCGGATGAAATCAGATGTTTGTGGATTAAAATAGATGTTCACGTATAAAAGCAGATGTTTGCAGGTGAAATCGGATAAAGCAGACGTTTGCGGATTAAAGTAGATGTTTGCGGATAAAATCAGATAAAACAGGGTGAATGCAGATATAAACCCAAATACAGGTATTTGCGGATGAAACCAGATGAAAGCAGACATAGAACTAAATAGATAAAACCCGACGTTTGCGGATAATATTTATACCCGCAATTGCAGATAAAAACCGACATGCCGGGTAAAATCAGATATGTCGGATGAAAACAGATATAAATTGACATAAAACTAGCTTGGTTTTTTATCCGCAATCATCTGGTCCCGTCTTTTTCAGCAGGGTACCTCTTAAGACCAAAAAAATATGTATTAAGTACGTACTATATATTATGTACATAAAATGTAAGGTTCAGTCGTCCTCAGTAAGTACATAGTATGTACAAAGAAGGTATGTATGTACAAAATACTTAACCAAAAGTTTGAACAAAAAACTTATGATCTCCTATACTTAAATAATTTAAATTTCTTATTTTGTATACATACCTATCTAATAATAACAAATGATATATTAAAATCTAAAAGGAACCGAGTTCAATTTTGAAATAAAAATAATACAAACTAACAGTGTATATTTATCATTAATCCAAGATACAAGCCTTTTTATTTGAATTTATTTGAATTGGGTAGTACCTAAGAATTTAGTCATCATTTATTTTTAAGGATTGATTTTTTTTAAATCATAAAAATTTTTGTTGACTAGTGAGAATCAAACTCAAGACATACTTAGTAAAAAAATCTATGTGGTGGTAATAAATATATAAAAATATATATAAATATAAAAAGAAGCATGTTCTAAAGTATTCCTGGTTGCATAGTGTGTACCGATCGCAGCAAAGGCGGTGTGGATCACGTGATCATGAAATTTTGAACAGTATACAAGATCATCTAACTCGATTGTTGAAAAGGGTTTTGACTTGTTTAATAAATCTTCAAAATCAGTATCATTGTCTGTTGAGCTTGATTCTTTATTGTCTTATACTAAGGGCTCAGATATACTTTTAGGCACTAAAGAGTCAGGTGAATGTTGCACTGGAAGCTGAACAGAAGTAGTACTTGGGTACTGCCATTTAGCTTCATTTTTAGCGTTTATGCCGTTTATGTTGATTAAAAAAGTATGAGTAATCCAGATGATTTTGTGGTCCTCGCCAAATGGTTTTAAATTTAAAAGCACTTCTTTTGCCTCTTTTCCATAATCTTAAATATTCAACACACGATTTACAAACACATTCACGAGCCCAAGACTTATCATTTTAACCAAAAACATCCCAAACTTTTTCTAAAATTGTTGAACACATATTCTTCAAATATGTAGCAAAAATAAAACCGACATGCCGGGTAAAATCAGATATGTCGGATGAAAACAGATATAAATTGACATAAAACTAGCTTGGTTTTTTATCCGCAATCATCTGGTCCCGTCTTTTTCAGCAGGGTACCTCTTAAGACCAAAAAAATATGTATTAAGTACGTACTATATATTATGTACATAAAATGTAAGGTTCAGTCGTCCTCAGTAAGTACATAGTATATACAAAGAAGGTATGTATGTACAAAATACTTAACCAAAAGTTTGAACAAAAAACTTATGATCTCCTATACTTAAATAATTTAAATTTCTTATTTTGTATACATACCTATCTAATAATAACAAATGATATATTAAAATCTAAAAGGAACCGAGTTCAATTTTGAAATAAAAATAATACAAACTAACAGTGTATATTTATCATTAATCCAAGATACAAGCCTTTTTATTTGAATTTATTTGAATTGGGTAGTACCTAAGAATTTAGTCATCATTTATTTTTAAGGATTGATTTTTTTAGATCTCCTATACTTAAATAATTTAAATTTCTTATTTTGTATACATACCTATCTAATAATAACAAATGATATATTAAAATCTAAAAGGAACCGAGTTCAATTTTGAAATAAAAATAATACAAACTAACAGTGTATATTTATCATTAATCCAAGATACAAGCCTTTTTATTTGAATTTATTTGAATTGGGTAGTACCTAAGAATTTAGTCATCATTTATTTTTAAGGATTGATTTTTTTTTAAATCATAAAAATTTTTGTTGACTAGTGAGAATCAAACTCAAGACATAGTAAAAAAATCTATGTGGTGGTAATAAATATATAAAAATATATATAAATATAAAAAGAAGCATGTTCTAAAGTATTCCTGGTTGCATAGTGTGTACCGATCGCAGCAAAGGCGGTGTGGATCACGTGATCATGAAATTTTGAACAGTATACAAGATCATCTAACTCGATTGTTGAAAAGGGTTTTGACTTGTTTAATAAATCTTCAAAATCAGTATCATTGTCTGTTGAGCTTGATTCTTTATTGTCTTATACTAAGGGCTCAGATATACTTTTAGGCACTAAAGAGTCAGGTGAATGTTGCACTGGAAGCTGAACAGAAGTAGTACTTGGGTACTGCCATTTAGCTTCATTTTTAGCGTTTATGCCGTTTATGTTGATTAAAAAAGTATGAGTAATCCAGATGATTTTGTGGTCCTCGCCAAATGGTTTTAAATTTAAAAGCACTTCTTTTGCCTCTTTTCCATAATCTTAAATATTCAACACACGATTTACAAACACATTCACGAGCCCAAGACTTATCATTTTAACCAAAAACATCCCAAACTTTTTCTAAAATTGTTGAACACATATTCTTCAAATATGTAGCAAAAATAATTTGGGTTATTTAAATAACATCTCCTTGAACTACTCATGTCGCAAAAACTTTGGATATTAGTTTTAACATAGTTTTAACGCACGTTATCATCGAATAAATTTGCATAATCAAATTCAAAAACAAAGCAACTTTAGCTGCACAAACAGTTTTAAGGTCAGGTTTGAAAAAAACACATCATAAGTAAACATTATCAAAAAAAAAATCACGGCAATAGACAAACACTTAAATTTTGTAAACTAATGTTATTATTACTACAAAATCAATTTTTGGACACCTTTGGAACTTTGAATCATAAGGTGCATTTAATATTTACATTGTTCCTGTAAAAAAAAATAGTTTTTTAATGTTGTTATCTACGTTTTTCGAGTTAAAGATTGTCAAATTTAATT